TTTCTTATCGGCCATGGTCAATCTACTGCTTGATGTACAGTGAGGGAAAAAAAGTATTTGATCCCCTGCTGATTTTGTACGTTTGCCCACTGGCAAAGAAATGATCAGTCTATCATTTTAATGTTAGGTTTATTTGAACAGTGAGAGACAGAATAACAACAACATCCAGAAAAAAACGCATGTCAAAAATGTTATAAATTGATTTGCATTTTAATGAGGCAAATAAGTATTTGACCCCCTCTCAATCAGAAAGATTTCTGGCTCCCGGGTGTCTTTTATACAGGTAACGAGCTGAGATTAGCAGCACACTTAAAGGGAGGGCTCCTAATCTCAGCTTGTTACCTGTATAAAAGACACCTGTCCACAGAAGCAATCAATCAATCAGATTCCAAACTCTCCACCATGGCCAAGACCAAAGAGCTCTCTAAGGATGTCAGGGACAGGATAATAGACCTACACAAGGCTGGAATGGGCTACAAGACCATTGCCAAGCAGCTTGGTGAGAAGGTGACAACAGTTGGTGCGATTATTCGCAAATGGAAGAAACACAAAGGAACTGTCAATCTCCCTCGGCCTGGGGCTCCATGCAAGATCTCACCTCGTGGAGTTGCAATGATCATGAGAACGGTAAGGAATCAGCCCAGAACTACACGGGAGGATCTTGTCAATAATCTCAAGGCAGCTGGGACCATAGTCACCAAGAAAACAATTGGTAACACACTACGCCGTGAAGGACTGAAATCCTGCAGCGCCCGCAAGGTCCCCCTGCTCAAGAAAGCACATATACATGCCCGTCTGAAGTTTGCCAATGAACATCTGAATGATCCAGAGGACAACTGGGTGAAATTGTTGTGGTCAGATGAGACCAAAATGGAGCTCTTTGGCATCAACTCAACTCGCCGTATTTGGAGGAGGAGGAATGCTGCCTATGACCCCAAGAACACCATCCCAACACATTTAGGTCATTCCCTCCTGTTTGATGTGGCCTCGTCATCTTGCACATCGGTTCCTTCACACACGTTGGCTTTTCAGCTTGAGTGATTGAGGACTCAATTTCATACGAATAATGCACTTCCTGGGCAGGGGTGGCCGCTGTTATACCGGCGTTTTTTGTGTCTCACTCGTGCTTTTTTTTTTCCCAAAGAGGCATGTACGATTCTGCTTGTCGCTCTCAGGTTCTTCCTCTGACTCCAGTGGAGGGATGTCGCTGTCTGATTGTGTGGTTGAGTGTGTGAGTGTGTGTGAGTTTGTTAATGTGTGTGTGTGAGTGAGTGTGAGTGTGTAGGAGTGTGTCTGATTGTGTGAGTGTGTGTGTGAGGGTGTGTGAGTTTGTTAGTGTGTGTGTGAGTGCGTGTGAGTGTGTAGGAGTGTGTGTGTGTGTCAGTGTGTGTATGAGTGTGTGTGAGTTTGTGAGTGTGTGTGTGTGAGAGTGTGTAGGAGTGTGTGTGTGAGTGTGTGAGTTTGTGAGTGTGTGAGTTTGTCAGTGTGTGAGTTTGTGAGTGTGTGTGAGTTTGTGAGTGTGTGTGTGTAAGTGCGTGTGAGTGTGTATGGAGTGTGTGTGTGTGAGTGGGTGTATGAATGTGTCTGATTGTGTGGGTGAGTGTATGAGTGTGTGTGAGTTTGAGAGTGTGTGTGTGTGAGTGTGTGTGAGTGTGTAGTAGTGTGTGTGTGAGTGTGTGTATGAGTGTGTCTGATGTGGGTGAGTGTATGAGTGTGTGTGAGTTTGTGAGTGTGTGTGTGTGAGTGCGTGTGAGTGTGTAGGAGTGTGTGTGTGTCTGTGTTAGTGTGTGTATGAGTGGACGGGTGCGAGGGGCTGGTAACCCCTCCACCTTCAATTAATTACCACTAAACTAAGACTGAAATATATAACTAATAAGCTTGTGCCGGAGGCCCCGGGGGGCCAGGCGTCTATGACGTCTCCTGGCCAAACCCCAATTGGCGGAGCCAGGAGATTGAATATCTACCCTCAGGGCTCCTCCAGAAACAACGAAAAACCACTACGGGTGGCCACGTGGAATGTTAGAACGCTCACTGCGGAGGAGAGGCTGCCACTCCTCTGTTGGGAGCTGGACCGGTACCGCCTGGATCTATGTGGCATTCAGGAGGTCCGGTGGACCGGTTCTGGCTCCTGCCACCATGAGGGGTGGACAGTCCTCTACTCGGGGCAGGAGACTGCCAAACAGCAGGGAGTGGCTCTTCTTCTGAACAAAATAATAAAGGGGGTGTGGGAGCATGGCAGTGAGGTGTGGGAAGCTGTAAGCCCCAGGAAACTTTGGGCTCGCCTTCCCATCAACCAGAGACGAGGAGTGGTGGTCGTGGTTACTTATTCCCCAACCGAAGATGAACATCCGTGGAGGGATGCAGGCAAGGCCGATGAGTCAGATGCCTTCTATGACCTCCTGTCCCAGGTGCTAGCTAAAGTGGCCCCTCGGGATAGAGTCATCATGTTGGGCGACTTCAATGCCCGAGTTGGTCATGATACTGGCACCTGGTCTGGAGTGATTGGAAGGCATGGGCCGGATAAGCTCAATAACAACGGTAGGAGGCTGCTAGATTTTTGTGCAGCCCATGGGCTTGTAATTACTAACACATTGTTCCGGCATCAGCGCATCCACACAACATCATGGATGCATGCCGGGTCCAAGCAAGAACATCTTCTGGACTACATAGTGGTGGAACAGAGGATGCGGGCCCATGTCCTTGACACCAGGACCTACCGTGGAGCTGATCTGCCCACTGACAATCGACTTGTCATCTGAAAGATGCGCCTGCCATTCTTCCTCTCCGGTGGTGGGTGTACACCGAGGACCCCATTCAAACCCATAGTGGCATGGTCTCAGCTAGCTGATGAAAGTTGTAAGCGAGAATTTCATCATCGCTTGCGGCTGGGGTTGGCATCGTCCTTCTGATGTTGAGGTGACATGGGCGAGGTTTTTGACTGAGGCTCATGCAGCTGCAATGGCTGCTTTGGGTACACGGTCCAGACCTCCCCAGAGACCCTGGCTCACAGAGGAGGTGTTCAGGCTGGCTAAGAAAAAGCGGCAGGCCCACTCTCATCGTCTACAGCATCGCACATCAGAGAATGAGGAGGCTTACCGCAGTCTTCGCTCAGAAATTCGGAGAGACATGATGCACGGCGAGGATTGGTGGTGGGTTGCTGAGGATATGGAGTCTGCCTCAATGGCCTGCGATCACAAATCGCTCTTTAACTCCGTAAAAAAGTAACCTGCAGCGCCACACCTGTTACCATCATTAAGGGAAAAAACGGTGATCCATTCTCAGACCCCCAAGAATAGGTTTGCAGATTTGCTGAGCATTTCTGCGAGGTCCTGGGGAGGGAAATCCCTCAGCCTGGAAAACATCGTAGCACAAAGTGGGGATGACCATGCTGAGGCTGCGGTATCTCAAATTTTGAAAGAAGAAGTCACCCCCTGTAAGTGGCTGGCTGAGGTGCCATCTGTTGAGGAAATACTGAAGGCGATCCGGAGTCTGAGACCAGGAAAGGCAGCGGGCAGAGATGATCTCCCAAGCGAAATGCTGAGGGAGGGCGGCGTTTGTGCACAGACTGCCCTTCATGACATCAAAACAAGTCTGGACCACTGGACGGGTTCTGCAGGATTGGAAGGATGCCCTGGTGGTCCCCCTCTTTAAGAAGGGGGACCGCACAGACTGTAACAATTACATGGGCATCTCACTCCTCAGTGTGCCGGGGAAGATCCTAGCAAGGATTATTCAACATCGCCTTGCCAGGCACACTGAGGAGAGGTTTGCAGAGCCCCAATGCGGTTTCAGGAAAGGGTGGTCCTGCACAGATGCTATATTTTCTGTCCCTCTGCTACAGCAGAGGTGTAGGGAATTCCAACAAGACCTACATCTCTGCTTTATTGACCTGGTGAAGGCCTATGATACAATCAGTAGGCCTGGGCTCTGGGTTGTTCTTCGTTCTTTAGGACTCCCTGACCCTCTGCTCACGATCATTAAGGACCTTCATGATGGTGAGCGGGCCCGGGTAAAACTACGTGGCCGGGAGTCAGAGCCGTTCCCTGTTCACCTTGGGGTGCGACAGGGATGTCCTCTGGCTACCACATTTTTTTTACATAATTTAACATCTATTTCGACCACTTAGTTCGTGAAACCTTCGGTGGCTTTACCGGAGGAATTTCCATCTGCTAAAGATACAATAGGAGGATGATCGATCCCCGTGAGCATGTCAAGGGATGGCGCCCTATTGTTCAACTATGTTATGTATGCCGATGATCTGGTAATTGCTGCTCATTCAGAGGAGGAGTTGGAGGCACTGCTGCTGAACTTGGAGCATGCCACTAAGAGGTGGGGCCTTACCATCAGCCACACTAAAACCAAGAACCTGCCTGGATATTTTGAACCATCAGACACTCCACCCCCATAACTTCCCAATGGTTATGGGGCAGTTGTGGAGAGAGTGGACAGTTTCCCATACCTGGGCAGTGTGCCCATGACTGGCTCCGGTTTGACAGCAGAGGTCTCACACCGAATTAGTCGAGCGGTAAGACCTAGCTTGCTTGCCCATCGCCACATAAAAACCTCGTGTTGTAACAGCTCTCTCGCTGGTTCAGCAGTTCGACTGCTGGATATTTTTTTTCTGCCTGAGGACGACCGCTGTTGTGTTGCGATCGAAACGTCGTGATATGTGATTTTTTTATTTTATTTCTTTTATTTATTTTTCTACCCATATGACTTTAACCGAAAGATCCAAAGAGTGTGAGGGAAAACTGGAGGACCTGGAGAAAAATCCACGCGACCGCGGGGAGAGGGAGAACACGCACACTCCAAATATACAGCAGCAGGCGTCAGGGTCGGGAACGAACCCACGGCCTCCTGCATACCAGTCGAGGGAGTTAACATCTACAAGCCATGGTCAAAGCTCAACAACAAAGTGAATTATCATCATCACGTGGGAAATGTGTAGCAGCCAAGTCCGTTGGAACTTGCTGGGGGTGGGTGGGGTAACTTCCTTGTTCCCCATTTATTATATTTTTAAAACGAGATGCTTGCACTGCGTTGTGGCTTGGCTTTGAATTCGAGTGCTGCTGCTGCTCCTACTGCTGCTATCGCTTACTTGAGTCCGCATCGAGGCCGAACTCACACCGTGTCAACCCGTACGGTTTACCCCGTATTTCTATACGGGGAAATTGAGTTTGCAGGTCCATGCGGCATACAGCCGTTTCAATACGGGCAAGGGAAATATTTCTCTGTATTGCTTGTGTTTCTCCCTCGTTAACGGGACCTCGCGGGATGAACGCCGCGATTTATAAGGGGCACGGGGTGACCATTAAGGTCTGAATTGGTCTGTGGAAAAGATCGGGGCACTGATAGGCTATCTGAACCTGCAAGCCGAGCAGAATTTGACGACGATGCCGTCCTTGACGTCTTTCCTTTCGGGCCAAAAGGACCTCCTGCCCACCTTCGAAACGCTCATCACGGGCGTGCTCATACCCATCGTGTCTAGCCTCACGGGTGTCTACTTTAACATGCTCGCCTTCCGCTGTCCCTGCGCGCCCGCCGAGAATGTCGAGTACGGCTGGAAAGCTTTGTTCATCCCGTTCGCCATCATTCTCATGGTGTCGTTCGCCATCCAGCTGAGGTCGATCGCGGTGGCGAACGGATCCTTGTGCCGCGACTCCAAGTGCCCCCGCCTGTGCCTCTTCCCGTTCACGGCGTTCATGAAGCACGGGGCCTTCGTAGTCGCGTCGCTCGCTTGGATCGTCGTCGCCTACTTCCACGGCAGTGTGCCGATCTGCATCGAGGTCATGAGCCTGGACTGGCGCTACCGCTTCTCGGTGCTCGCCCCGAGCCTCTCGCGCATGAGCGAGGAGGAGAGACGCGGGGTGCTTGCCAAGGTGCCCTGCGCGAATCAGGATCCCCTGCAAGGACTCGTCGCCAACGGCACCAGCAAGGAGGTGCAGTTGGTTATCGTCAACTTCCTCCACGCGACCGCTCAGGTACGCGCTTTGGTAGGGGGGTTGTTGCGGGCAATCTATCGGCAGTCGTTTTGCTTCGTGCTCTTTGAGCAAAGCACACGGGAAGGCAATGAGCGGGAATGCGACGTGTGGATCACCACGGTTGGTTTGTCGGTGCGATGGTCGCGCGTGTTGTTCGCGGTGGCTAGGAAGTGTTGACCTACCTTGCCTGCTACACAAGAGTGCGTGGGTTCGATCGCGATCCTGATTCCTGCCACTGTTTATTTGGAGTTGGAGTTAGCGGATCTCTCTCAATGTGGCCACGTGGATTTTTCTCCAGGACCTCTGGTTTTTCCAATCCACGTTTAGAATCGACGTCATGCGTTCAGAATATTTATTTAAGCCGCTTCGCTAAGCTAACATTTGTGATATAGCCAGGTCGCTTCTGATAAAGAGCCATGCAGCTCAGTTGGGGGCCCTTAGTTTAGTGACAATCATCATCAGGTGGTGTTACTCTGGGGACCAGGAGATTCGATGATAATCAATGTTCGTCGACAGAGTTGGTCGCGTAAAAAGCTGTTGCCGTCTTCCTCCACTACAGCCATACGTATCTTGTCGTGAAAGTTGACACGACCGGGAAAATGTACCTTCCCTTGCTTTCCCTCCCCCCACACCGGTGGCGTTCAAGTCCTGTGCTGTTAAAATTTCAAACATCTTCCTCGCCGCGTTGTTAATTTGTATTTTATTCTACCAGGCGTCAAGCTCCACTGAGCGGTGTAGCTCGTTTTAAGAAGCAACCTGGTCATCACAGATGGTGGCTCAACTACGTGTCTGATTTCATCGTAGCGTGGATATCTTTTATTTTGCAGCAGCCAAATAATCTAAGCGTGTGAGAACAAGGATTCCAAATGTGGAGAGAAACAACGGGAGGATAACATCTCGCCAATGCGGCGCCCCAGTTTGTGGTTTGCGGCTTTTTCAATGAAAATAAAAAAACGCAGCCTGGTTGTGCGCTGGAACAACAACAGCAACAGCGTCCCGAATATAAACTATGAACTCCAACTATTTTAATTTTACCAGGTAAGGGCCCAATGAGCTTCTACATAGCTCTCTTTCAGAAGCGACCGAGCCATGATAGCTCGAAGAAGAGGCTTATCATCACGTGAACATTTATAGCAGCAGCCGAATATTCTAAACGCGTGACGTTGATTCCAAATGTGGAGGGAAAAACCGGGAGGACGTGGAGAAAATCCATGCGACCATGGTGAGAGAGAGACACCGCAAACTCTAAATATGCAACAGGCATCAGGGTCGGGATCGAACCCAGAACCTCCAGTATACCAGGCGAGGTTTATATTCTTGGTTCTTTCGGTAAAGTCACCACGTCGAAGGGAAACAATAAAATAATACAAATATAAAACAATAAAATTCTCACGACGTTTCGACTGCCACGCAAGCAATCATCATCAGGTGTGAAAACCACAACAAGAAAATTTGCTGTCGTTTTCACACCTGATGATGACTGCTTGTGTTGCAGTCGAAACGTCGTGAGAATTTTATTGTTTCATTTTTATTTTATTTTATTGTTTCCCTTCTTACGTGGTGGTAACTTTACCGAAAGAACCAAGAATATGAATCCCTGCGGTCACGAAAGCTTTAAATCAAAATTTAAGGCGAGGTTTGTTGGAACATCTTCTACAACCGCGGGAGTATGAGGACACATCGATGAGATTCAAAGATAAAAATGAAATGTGGTCTGAATTATTCGAATTAAGAGTGCAATGACGCCGACACACGCGGTGTACCCGGAGCCTTTTTATTTTGACACAGAACCCACACTGGGCCCGTCATCTTGTTTGCCTTTTGAAGCTCGGTACGCTCCCCTCCCCGCTGTGCTTCTCTCCCTTTAATACTTTTCGAGCCCCCCGTCTCTGGAAAGCTTCCCTCGCTCCACTCCTTAGCGCTCAACCCTCCGCTCCACCCCTTTTTCCACCTCGATCCTCTCCTCCAATCCCTTTAAACCTTCGCCTCCCGACCAATCGCCGTGGAGTCCTCTACGCACCAATGGGAAGCCATGGGCTGCTTCCTGGCTGTCTGTCTGCCCATGCGTTCGCTTCACGCGATTGGTCTGTTGCCTCGGTTTGCTTACGATGGAGATGGGTTAAGACGACCACGATCGTAAGTCGAAAAATATCGTAAGTCGAAGACGGCCCTAGCCTAACCCAGGAGTCTTAAAGAACGGGTGATAATTTAGCGAAACAGAGCAATTTACACTACCGTACTGTATAAACTATATGCTGTATGTGTTTATTAATTGGAATGCTTCATCTTCTTTGGTTCTTTCGGTAAAGTCACCACGTAGAATGAGAATAAAATAATAAATTGATAAAATAAAATAACACAATAATTTTTTTTATTTTTTTCAATTTATTATTTTATTCTCATTCTACGTGGTGACTTTACCGAAAGAACCAAAGAAGATGAATCATTGCAGTCACGAAAGCTTTAAATCGAAATTTAATTGCAATGCTGTATTGCACAGTAGAATGTGAAGTTAAAAAAAGAGACGAGGTCAATTCTTAGCCTGCCTATGTGAACTGCAATTTAGTAGAAAGGCGTGAGACGCGTACATCCCAGCGGCGACCCAACGTACTGTATCGTACCCCTTCGTACGCTGCTGCGGTAGCCTGCCGTGATAAATTAAAAAATATATTTTACAATTTTGTCGCTGTCGCTATCGCCGTCGTGAGATCGAAATATCGTAAGTCGGACCGTCGTAACTCGAGGACTATCTGTATATATGTAGTGGCACAGGTACATACACACAGGTACATACACATATATACACACACAGGTACATACACACAGGTACATACAGGTACATACACACAGGTACATACAGGTACATACACACAGGTACATACACATACATATACACACAGGTACATACACACAGGTACACACAGGTACATACACACAGGTACATACAGGTACATACACACAGGTACATACGCATACATAAACACACAGGTACATACACACAGGTACATACAGGTACATACACACAGGTACACACACAGGTGCATACACACACAGGTACATACACATGCATACACACACAGGTGCATACACACAGGTACATACAGGTACATACACACATGTACATACACATACATACACACAGGTACATACACATACATACACACAGGTACATACACATACATATACACAGGTACATACACACAGGTACATACACATACATATACACACAGGTACATACACACAGGTACATACAGGTACATACACACAGGTACATACACATACATACACACAGGTACATACACATACATACACACACAGGTACATACACACAGGTACATACACATACATATACACACAGGTACATACACACAGGTACATACAGGCACATACACACAGGTACATACACATACATATACACACAGGTACATACACACAGGTACATACAGGTACACACACAGGTGCATACACATACATACACACACAGGTACATACACACAGGTACATACAGGTACATACACACAGGTACACACAGGTACATACACACAGGTACATATACATACATACACACAGGTACATACACATACATACACACAGGTACATACACATACATACACACACAGGTACATACAGGTACATACACATACATACACACACAGGTACATACACACAGGTACATACACATACATATGCACACAGGTACATACACACAGGTACATACAGGTACATACACACAGGTACATACACATACACACAGGTACATACACATACATATACACACAGGTACATACACACAGGTACATACAGGTACATACACACACAGGTACATACACATACATACACACACAGGTACATACACACAGGTACACACAGGTACATACACACAGGTACATACACATACATACACACAGGTACATACACATACATACACACAGGTACATACACATACATACACACAGGTACATACACACAGGTACATACACACAGGTACATACACATACATTCACACACAGGTACATACACACAGGTACATACAGGTACATACACACAGGTACATGTAGTAGTGGCCTTATTGACATCGGAGACTGTTCTTTGGAGGCAACACGTATTTATTACAGACGCTTCAATTACAGTGGCGAATCTGATACTTGAAGAGGTAAGCGGCCTCTTCGCCGGTAACCTACAGAGGGAACGTTCCCCCGAGCCTTAGGCCACGCTAGCTCCCTGGTTCCCTCTATCCCGGCCCTCTCTCAGGAGGCTTTCTGACCTAGCCCAGCTTCGGCGCAGGCCCCGACCACCGGCCCCACGAGTCCGGCCCTCAGGAGGACGTCGGCCCTCAGCGGCTCCGGTGCCGCACCCCCTGGCTTGCTCTGCCCGACCCACAGAAGGGCGGCGGGCCTAAAGGAGTTCCAGGGTCTGGCTAGTCGATCTTTTTTTCTTCTTCTTTCTTCACCGGCTCTTCATCTTGCTCGAGTCGAACTGAACTCTCAGCTCCCCTGGTCCCAGCTTTTATACTGCCCCTCAGCGAGGGACGGGGCTGGGAGGGATCACAGCGTCCCCCCAAAGGCCCCACCAAGGGTGGTGGCCGTAGCGGACGTGGTTGTGGCCACCGCCCTACAACCGCGTGTCACCCTCCCGTAACACCTCTACACGTGTACAATGCAAGAAAAAGGCTGCACGTAGGAGAAGACCTGATGGAGGCAGTGATGAGAAGGACATTGGCACTGATGTCGACACCATATGTAGGATGGAACAACAATAGGACGATTAAAAGTGTTGTTAAATATATTTATATGGAAGGAATGAGACAGAGACGGAGAGAATATCGAGGGGAGACCTCGCAGAGTAAATGGCTTGATGACGGCATCGCAAGAGATTGGTGACAGATAGATGTGACCACTGCTAGAGCTGATTGGCACTACAAGACAGAGAGAGGAAAGTGGAAACATCAAATGACGAAATGTCTAGTGGTCACACATACTACTACTACTACTACGGGATATCTGCCCATGGATGATAATACACCACATTATACACTATTATACACTACACTACTAAACACTACACTATTATACACTACACTACTAAACACTAGACTATTATGCACGATACTACTATACAGTGCACTATTATGCACTACTTTACTATACACTACACTATTGTATACTACACTACTATATACTACACCACTATACATAGCACTAATATACATTACGCTACTATACACTACACTACTATACACTATACTACTATACACTACACTACTATACACTATACTCTCTGCTTCTTTCGGTAAAGTCATGTAGATAGAAAAATAATAATAATAATAAAAGAAAACACGACGTTTTGGTCGCATCACAAGCGTCCGTCTTCAGGTGAGAAAATGTATAGTGTACTATACACTACACTATACACTACACTATACACTACACACACTATACACTACATTACACACTACACTATACACTACACTATACACTACACTATACACTACACACACTATACACTACATTACACACTACACTATACACTACACTATACACTACACTATACACTACACTATACAATACACAATACACTACACACACTATACACTACACTATACACTACACTATACACTAAACTATACACTACACTATACACTACACTATACACTACACTATACACTAAACTATACACTACACTATACACTACACTATACACTAAACTATACACTACACTATACACTACACTATACACTACACTATACACTAAACTATACACTACACTATACACTACACTATACACTACACTATACACTACATTACACACTACACTATACACTACACTATACACTACACTATACACGACACTAAAAACGAAACTATACACTACACTATAAACTACACACACTATACACTACATTACACACTACACTATACACTACACTATACACTACACTATACACTACACACACTATACACTACATTACACACTACACTATACACTACACTATACACTACACTATACACTAAGCTATACACTGCACTATACACTGCACTATACACGCCACTAATATACACCGTACCACTATACACTACACGACTATGATGTGGCACTACTTGAGCAGATCGGCACTGCAAGACAGAGAGAGGAAAGTGGAAACATCAAATGACGAAGCGTGCCGTGGACGCTTACTCCTATGGGCTATCCGCCCCCATGGATCGGGACGATGATGTGATGTCGTCCGTCTCTTAATTGTGATTCTTAAATGTTGCGTCAAAAACAATTAGTCTCTGCTGCTGTTTCCAGTTGCCTGGGTGTAAAGTAAGCAAGTTTTTGTTCTCAATCATAGCCATCTGGGCTCAAAAACGCAGTACACTAATAACACTGAGCGATACATAGAGGTACATAGAGACTAATATAGGCTCATAGAGATACACATTGACTATGGTTCCGGGTGGCTGTGGGTCGCAGTGTGTGTATTATTTCACACCGTACGTATCCAATCGTGCCATTCTGTGGGTCTCTGTGGGCCTCTATGGGTCTATGGGTGTTTATATGTGTCTCTGTGGATCTCTATAGTTTTGGGTGTCTGTGGGTCTCTGTATATGTATCTATGTTGAACTTTTGATTTCAAGCTTTCGTGACTGCAGGGATTCATATTCTTGGTTCTTTCGGTAAAGTCACGTAGAAGGGAAATAATAAAATAATAAAAATATAAAACAATAAAATTATCACGACGTTTCGACTGCAACACAAGCAATCATCATTAGGTGTGAAAAAAACCACAGCAATAACATTTTCTTGCTGTGAGAATTTTGTTGTTTGATATTTTTATTATTTTATTGTTTCCCTTCTACGTGGTGACTTTACCGAAAGAACCAAGAATATGTCTAACATCTTTAGCACTGTACGTAGCCAACCGTGCTAATCTGTGGGTATCTGTAGGTCTCTATGGGTGTTTCTGGGTGTCTGTGGGTGTCTCTATGGGTGTTTCTGTGGGTGTCTCTATGGGTGTCTATGGGTGTCTCTATGGGTGTCTCCGTGTCTCTGTGGGTGTCTCTATGGGTGTCTATGGGTGTCTGGGTGTCTCTATGGGTGTCTCTGTGGGTGTCTCTATTGGTGTCTCTATGGGTGTCTATGGGTGTCTGGGTGTCTCTATGGATGTCTCTGTGGGTGTCTCTATGGGTGTCGCTATGGGTGTCTATGGGTGTGTGGGTGTCTCTATGGGTGTCTCTATGGGTGTGTCTATGGGTGTCTGAGTGTCTCTATGGGTGTCTCTGTGGGTGTCTCTGGGTGTCTGGGTCTCTCTGTAAGTATGTTGAAATTCTGTCGCACTGTACATAGCCAATCATGCTAATCTGTGCACCTCTGTAGGTCTTTATGGATGTCTCTGTGGGTCTGGGTGCCTGTAGGTCTCTGTGTATGCACGTATGTTGAAATTATTTTGCACTGTACGAATGTAACTGTGCTAATCTGTGGGTCTCTGTATGTCTTTACGGGTGTCTTTATGCTTATGGGCGTCCGTGGGTCTCTGTGTATGTGTTATGGGTTCAATTCACGCGCACACTGGACATTTTGGGAGGCAACACTATTTATTATTAACACAACGGGTAACTCTTAACATTACACATAGGGTGGCGACCACCAACCAATCTCTCACTAACACTGACACTCTCATACGACTAGCGTGGCCAAGCCAGGAGGGCTACTGGTTGGCCACGCTGACTTGAGGCTTGAGTCTTCTTCTTCTTCTTCGTCTTCACGAGGCATCTTCATCCCGGACCCGGTGTGGAGCCCGCTTATATAGCCTCGGCGTTCCCGGGCCACGCCCAGGCCACGCCCAGGCCACGCCCACCTTCTCGAATCCTCGAGAAGGTTCAGCCCCTTGCCACGCGACCCACAAGGTCCCCTTGGGGTCCCCGGCCCCCCACCTTTATCCGGTCACGTGTCCGGCCGGGGTTCGTACAGAGTGCCATGGCCTGACCCAACCCCCCACCGTGGCACTGACGACAGCCTCCCGGCTCCCCGACCCGGCCGTGACGTCATTCCAATATACCCGACCTTAGTGACGTCATGTGCGTGCAGGCTCACACACGAGTGACACTGCAAGTCACTGCATATGTATGTTGAAATTATGTCGTAACCATATGAAGCCACCCGTGCTGATCTGTGTGTCTCTGTAGGTCTTTTACTGGTGTCTCTATGGGTCCGGGCGTTTCTGGGTCTCTGTGTATGCATGTTGAACTTCTTCCTCCACCGTACATAGCCAACTGTGCTAATCAGAGTACAACCAAGTTGGTTCCTTTTGCTATTTTGATGTCTGTTTTTGTTTCTGTCTCAGGACACGGCATGGCTATTTCTGCTAGCCATTACAGTCGACATACTCCTCATGCTCTCCGTCCAGAAGCTCATCTTCAAGAATATCGCTCAGGATCGGGACAAATGCGTGCAGCGTGAGGAGCAGCCACTCAGAGAGAAGACGGAGGAGCTGCGGCCCTCTCCGCACCTGGGCAAGTCGATGCCGGGGCGACCACCCCGGCCGAGAGGTGCAGAGGAGACTGAGATGCCGCGGCTTCAGTGCAGCGGCAACGAGAGACAAGAACAGGACGAGCAAGGGAACCAACACATGCCTTAAATCCGGACGGCAATGCTGCGGTGGATGTGAGCAATTCCAGGAAGGGGAAGGCCAATTCCAATTGGCGGTACCGCCCATGGCGACTGTGGCCACCGCAGAGGTAAAATTGGGGTCTCTAGATGGGTGTAGTGGGCTGGTGAACCCTTCCAGCTTTAATTCAACTACCACCAGACTACTTGCAAGATATCAAACTACGCTGGTACAGGAAACACCGTAATGATCAGCCACGGCAGAAGTATTGGGGATTGCCCTACTGAGGCTGTGGTGCCTCAAATATTGGAAGAAGAAGAAGTCACCACCTATATTATATTCTTAGCTCTTTCGGTAAAGTCACGTTGAAGGGAAACAATAAAATAATAAAATGCATTATTTTTTATTGTTTTATATATATTTTATAATTGTATTGTTTCCCTTCAACGTGACTTTGCCGAAAGAGCTAAGAATATAAATTACTGCAGTCACGAAAGCTTTAAATCAAAATTTAAGTCACCACCTGTGAGTGGCTGGCTGAAGTGCCATCTGTTGAGGAAGTACGGAATATGATCCAGAGTCTGAGACCAGGGAAAGTGACGGGCAGAGATGATCTCCCAGGCGAATGCTGTGTGTGTGTGTGGGGGGGGGGTTGGGTTAGTATGTGTGTGCAGACCGCCCTATATGACATCATAATAACAGGCTGGACCACCAGACAGGTGGTTCTGCAGGATATGAATGATGCCCTGGTGGTCCCCCTCTTTCAGAAGGGTGCTTGCACGGACGGTAAAAAAAAAAAAAACTACAGGAGTATTTCACTCCTCAGTGTGTTGGGAAAGGTCCTGGCCAGGATTATTCAAATCACCTTGCCAGGCATGCTGAGGAGAGGCTTGCGGAGCCCCAATGTGGTTTCAGGCCAAGGTGGTCCAGAAAAAAGTGCCATATTTTCCGTCTGTCTTCTACAGCAGAGTTGTAGGCATTCCAACAGCATATACATCTCTGCTTTAGTGACCTGGTCAAGGCCTATGATATAATTAATAGGTTTGGGCTCTGGGTTGTTCTTCGTGCTTTCCGAGTCCCTGACTTTTTGCTCACAATCTTAAGGACCTTGATAATGGCGAGCGGGCCCGGGTAAAAACTACGCGGCTGGGAGTCAGAGCCATTCCCTGTTCATCTTGAGGTGCGACAGGGATGTCCTCTGGCTCCCACATTATTTAACATATGTTTGACCATGTAGTTCGAGAAGCTGTCCATGTCTATACCTGGAGTAATCTCCATCTGGCAAAGATACAATGGGAGGCTGATCAATGCCAGAGTGAGGTCGATGGTCGATTCCCTATTGGTCAACCATGTTATGTACGCTGATGATCTGGTGATGGCTGCTCACTCAGAGAAGGAGTTGGACGCGCTGCTTCGAGACCTGGAGAGTGCCACTAAGCATTGTGGCCTTACCATCAGCCGAACTAAAACGAATAATTTGCTGGATATTTTGTGAAATCGGACACTCCACCCCCTTAACTCCCCGATTGGCGATGGGGCAGTTGTGGAGAGATTGGAGAGTTTTACATATCTGGGTCGTGTGCTTATTACCAGCTCCGGTTAGACAGCAGAGGACTCATTCCCTAATCAATCGAGTGGCAGACACTTTTTATCGGCTGCGTAAAGCTGTGTGGAAGCTACCTGGGTCTGTCGCTCTACACGAAACTTCGGGTCTTCTCGGCCACGGTCATGCCCTCCCTTCTCTATGAACATCTGTCCGGACGAATAGATGGGCTCGAGAAGAGTTGGACTGATATGGCACAGGAAGATGTGGAGATGATTGGTCTTGGTAATGACTGGCACCAGCAGTGTTAACATTATATAATGACAATAAAAGCAGTCGGAGCTAAAGCAATGAGGTTCTGAAACATGTGTACGTTTTCTTTGGTTCTTTCCGTAAAGTCACGTAGAATGAGAATAAAATAATAAATTGATAAAATGAAATAACAAAATAATATTATGATAAAATAAAATAACAAAATAATACTATTTTATTTTATCAATTTATTATTTTATTCTCATTCTACGTGACTTTACCGAAAGAACCAAAGAAGATGAATCATTGCAGTCACGAAAGCTTTAAATCGAAAAAATGATGTACGTTTATTTCAAGTCAAGAACTGGTTTACTGAGCACACACAGTATATGGTACGATTATGTTTAACCCTTTAAAATATTTTCAAATATAACAACAATTGGTTATATCGACAAACAAGCATTATTCACGAAGATAATTCAGAATGGAAGCTGTTGACAACTGTATCTCGTTAATAAATGCATAAAAAGCGACCTGCAAATGAAGATACAGTTTTTTAACGATAGATCGATACACGAGATGGATGCTTTTCTTCCCATTTCACTGCCAGCAATTATGATGCTGCGTTCCATACTATATTTAATGATTGTAAAACATGTTTTCGTTATCAAACCTAACAGTCTATCTTTATACAGTCAAACGATAACTATATAGAGCAATGATGTCCTAGTAGCTTGTATGACTATGTGGTACTGTGTACAGTACATACAACTCTCTACATTCCACATCCATGATTAAATAATACGCGTCCGAAATGATGGGGGTAAAAACGGTGTCTATAATTTCATTTGTGTCAAATCCAAAGAAAACTTAAATCACAGCCAGTTGTTTTCTGAAAAGAAAATAGTTGTTAGTGATGGTACCACATAATGGTGCAGGATTATGACCTCACAGTAAACCAATTGTGATGTCATCTGTCATGTAATGAGGAAGCTCAACGTGTCGGGGCATGGGGGGTGGGGGGTAGGGTGAGTTATCGGTCCCCGAAGCTAGAACCGGTAATTTGGAATGTCGAAACTTTTGAGTCTGCGTGTCAGACCCATAGCGATTAGCTACGGTGGCTTAGGTAGATGTTAACTAGCTCGACCGGTGTACAGGTGGTCGTTGGGTCGATCCCGATCACGACCCTGACAATGCCTGCCGCTGTATATTTGGAGTATGCGTCTCTCTCGCTCTCTCTCTCTTTGCTCCAATGGTAGAGCAGATTATTCTCTGAGTGTTCCGGTGTTTTCCTCCACATTTAGAGTGAACGTCACGCGTTTAGGGGGCCATCCATAAATGACGTCACGCACCTAGGGGGGGAGGGGGTGGTGGTCAGACATTTGTGACGATGTGTGACGAGGGGGGGAGGGGTTTAGTATTGTGACGTCACATCGAAATGCGCAACTTTAAATAAATATAGACAACACGTTCTACTTGTATTCTTAGTTTTTTCGGTAAAGTCACCACGTTGAAGGGAAACAACAAAATAATAAAATATATATATAAAACAATAAAACATTCTCACGACGTTTCGACCATAACTCAAACGGTCATCTTCAGGTGTGTTGGTTTGAGTTATGGTCGAAACGTCGTGAGAATTTTTTATTGTTTTATATATATTTTATTATTTTGTTGTTTCTCTTCAACGTGACTTTACCGAAAAAAACTAAGAATATGAATTACTGCAGTCACGAAAGCTTTAAATCAAAATTTAACGTTCTACTTGATTAGACTTTTTTTTAATAAATGTTTTATCCTACAACATCAGAGTGCAGCGCCACATTAAATACGCATTACAATGGCAATAGTTTAAAAGAGATTTGTAGGGGGGAGGGGAGGCAGAGCTTTTTGACGTCATATTTGAGGGGGGTCTGACTTTTTGTGACGCCGTGTGAGTGACGATGGGGGGGGGGGCGGGGTCAAAAATCGTCCAAAATCGCGTGACGTCATTTATGGACAGCCCCTTAGAGAGTACTTGGGTGCCGTAAATGTCCACGTGATGATGATGATAAGCCACTTCGTTGGACCTATCATTTGTGGGCCAAGTTGCATCTGGAAAAGAGATCCATAGCTCAGTGGGCCTTACCTGGTAAAATAAAAATAAAACTAAAAATAGTTATTCGTTTAATTTAGATTCTCTTAACGTGTCTTTATTTTGTCCCGCTCATCACAGCACATTCCAATGGGGCAAGTGTGGAAAGATGCAGAAAAAAAACCCCGCAAACGAATTGTGCGGTCAGTGTAAGCGTAAGATATACACAGAGATGGCGAGTTACGTATATATATATTTCGATTTAAAGCTTTCGTGACTGCAATGATTCATCTTCTTTGGTTCTTTCGGTAAAGTCACGTAGAATGAGAATAAAATAATAAATTGATAAAATAAAATAACACAATAATATTATTGTGTTATTTTATTGTGTTATTATTAATATTGTGTTATTATTAATAACACAATAATATTATTGTGTTATTTTATTTTATCAATTTATTATTTTATTCTCATTCTACGTGACTTTACCGAAAGAACCAAAGAAGTATATATATATTGTGAGTGGGTGGTGTTTGGGTGATTATTCGTGAAGATCCATTACCCTAGTACCGAACTGCTGGCAGCAGGCACAGTTGGCTCGCTCACAGATGTACGAACTTATCGGCGGAAGAAAAAAAAACATCGACACGCGTGTGTGTGTGTGTGTTGGCTTCCGATTGGCCGGGGAATTTGAAAGGAGAAAACACTTGTGGTCATTCAATGTATCAAGGCGCTGTAAACGCGCAGTAGCGGTTAGCTTTCGCGACCGATATTATGCACTGTTAACTTTGTTTTTTTTTGGTTAGACAGCGTGAAATGTAATGAAGTAGTGAAGCTTTCGTGACTGCGTGAAATGACTCATTAGGTTTTTTTTTCGGTAAAAGTCGCGTTTGTAGACATACAATAAAATTGTATTAAAACAAAAAAAAACACAATCACGACGTTTCGATCGCAACGCGAGCGATCTTCATCAGGCGTCAAGAAAAAAATCGCGGAGGTCAATACAAACAACAAAAAAAGATTAAGAGACGAGAATTCTTCAACAAAGCTGAAAAAAAACTTTATGCGAAGCCACATCCAAGTCAGGCCAACAACACAGTTAGACACTTCCTGGCGGACCACGAATTTGTGCAATCCAAAGGTTGAACACGAAATGTAACACTCTTCTGAAATTCGCGGTCCGCCAGGAAGTGTCTTAACTGTGTTGTTGGCCTGACTGGATGTGGCTTCACGTGATGTTTTATTCTTAGGTTTGTTGAATTCTCGTCTCTTAATCTTTTTGTTGTTTGTATTTCACCTCTGTGATTTTTTTTCTTGACACCTGATGAAGATCGCTTGCGTTGTGATCGAAACGTCGTGATTGTGCTTTTTTTTGTTTGAACATAATTTTATTGTATTTCTACATACGCGACTTTACCGAAAAAAAACCCAATGAGTAGCGTAAATATAAATGCGTCGTTAAACCCGCCAGATTCGATTTAGTTCTCGTTGTAATCACCAGCCAAACGTCACGGTACTCACGTTGAAAATGTTGGGGGTTGGCTCTCCGACACACAACCGGGGTGCTGTACTAGTAACTGATTGGCACGTCTTGTTTACGTGTGAAACGTTACTAATTGTTCCGTGTCGGGTGGTGGCGGGTTTAACGACGCACTTATATATTCTTAGCTCTCTCGGTAAGGTCACGTTAAAGGGAAACAATAAAATAATTACAATATATATAATACAATTAAAAAAATTCTCACGACCTTTCGACCATAACACAAACGGTCATCGTCAGGTGTGAAAGGCAACGTGACTTTACCGAAAGAGCTAAGAATACGAATTACTGCAGTCACGAAAGCTTTAAATCAAAATTTGACGCACTTATATTTAGGCGATCTAACCCAGCAACAACAACAAAAACTTTATTATGGATAAAGGCGCATTCATTAATATTTGTTACGTTGCGAGTTTAGCCAAGCCAGCATTGGGCAAAGCTTTGCCCACTTTTCACCGAGGCAACTGGACACGCTTAGTACAGACTACTGTAAGTGTATTCTTAGTTTTTTCGGTAAAGTCACGTTAAAGAGAAACAACAAAATAATAATATATATAAAACAATAAAAAATTCTCACGACGTTTCGACCATAACTCAAACGGTCATCTTCAGGTGTGTTGGTTCGTTTGAGTTATGGTCGAAACGTCGTGAGAATTTTTTTATTGTTTTATATATATTTTATTATTTTGTTGTTTCTCTTTAACGTGACTTTACCGAAAAAACTAATAATATGAATTACTGCAGTCACGAAAGCTTTAAATCAAAATTTACTGTAAGTGTGTTCTAACCTAACATTGCAACTCACAAAAACGTGATGAAAACATAATAATTGTTTTTTTCCGGCAATATTAAAACAGGAGTTGTCTTCATCTTCTTGGTTCTTCCGGTAAAGTCACGTAGAATGGAAATAAAATAATAAAAATGAAACAAAATACACTTTAATTCTCGCGACAGGAGTTGTGTTAAGATGTTCAAACACCAAATAGACAACACCCACTATTGTAAGGCACCATCAAGTACTGCATTAACTACACATCGTACTTGTTGGCAAAACATGCCAAGAAAAACGTGGCTTTGAAAACTGATTGGCCTACACCAGAGACAGCAGTCATCTTCATGGCCGTTGTCTGTGCACTCGTGTTAGTACACCAGAGAAGTACGTCAAAAAGGCGAACAGTACAAGGCAACGCAAGTGTAATACGAGGGTTTACCGACGGTCGCCGATCGGTGAGACAGGCTCCGCCGCCTCAGCCATCAGCCAATTAGACGGATGTGCTAAGTTCAAGGGCGGAGCCCAAGGGCTCTTGCGGGTAACCATCCAGAAGGTTCGCGAGGGGGGGGGGCGTGGCTATAGGCGGGGCTTAGTGACGCAGGCGAAGGGATATAAGGGGAAGTAGGAAGAAGCTCGGGGTCACTTGCACGCCGTCTGCCAGCGACGAGCGGGAGCAGGGGGGGGGGGAGCGTGAGCGAGCCGTGCGCGGAACGAGAGCGGAGCGGTGCCAGTGTGAAGATGGACGCGGAGCTGTCCGGCCGGCCGGGAATAAATAATGAAGAAGACACGAACTACAGATCGTCGTCAAAGTGATTTATTACACAAGTGTCAGACAGCATTTATAACTCGGGCTGAGCAGTCATATCTGTGGGATACCCTTTTTGATATTGGCAAAAAGGGCCCCCATAGATAACAATGACATCTTAAGAAGCACGGTTAAGAGATAAACAACATGAAAAGCGCTCCAACATTAAGACGATTACTGCTACTACAAGTCGTTTTCTTGGTTCTTTCGGTAAAGTCACCACGTAGAAGGGAAACAATAAAATAATAAAAAATATAAAACAATAAAATTCTCACGACGTTTCGACTGCAACACAAGCAGCAATCATCATCACGTGTGAAAACCACGAACAAGAAATGATGATGATTGCTGCTCGTGTTGCAGTCGAAACGTCGTGAGAATTTCGTTGTTTTATATTTGTATTATTGTATTGTTTCCCTTCTACGTGGTGGTGACTTTACCGAAAGAACCAAGAATATGAATCCCTGCAGTCACGAAAGCCTTAAATCAAAACACTACCGGTCGCTCAAGCCTTTTTGCCCTGACAAGACCAGTGCTCCGTTGATCGAGGTGATGTCTCATTTAGCCCCCGACTCTGCATTCACACAACACTGGAAGGCGAGAGTGGGAAGGGGGCGACGTTGGTGAGCACCACAGTCGAAGGTAACGTCGAGGGTCCTTAATGACGTGTTTCTGAGCTCACTTCAAATAGACATCCAATCAGCATACGGTAAGCCGCTGTCCTTCGAACTATAAACTGATGGCGTGGCCTTGCTGCGGTGCATTTGCCACTTGCTTACGTTCCTTTTTGGTGAAATCAATGGCGCCCGACTCAAACTCAGAATCTTTCGTGGTGCCGGCTCAATGTCACGGATATGGCCATTGTGAACCCCACCCCGCTGCATCTCCCGCACCCCTGTTCCCGAGCCACCTGCACATCGCCTCCAGGGGACTCTGGGGGGGGCCACGTTTAAGTCGCCTGGTTAATGTCGGCTTCTCTCTTTTCCGTGGCGAGGAGTGGCAACGCTTCGCCCGGCTCTCTCAGTGACGGTGGCTGCCGCTGTCGCTCCGATGGAAATCGGTGGCTGTCAAGGCGGCTGCCGCAATGGCCCTGGTCCAGGTGTTCGTAGCCGGGCGGGAGGGATAAGCTCTCGCTCCCTTGCCTCACTCTCTCCAGGTGCCCAAAGAGCCGGTTCGCGTTCAGCTCGGCCAGACGGTTTGCAAACTCCGCCATCTTCTCGTCGATCTGCATCTGCTCGCAGTGAGCGTACTGGAACTTGAACGACTTCTCTATTGTTGCTCGGCGTCTCTTGATCCATTGGTGCAGAATAGCCACGAGGATGAAATTTGATAGTATGACCAATAATGACAATAACGCCACGTGCTGAAAACAAAAATGCACAACAAACATACCCTGTTGTACATTACAACATTCGCATGGTTGACATCACCACCACGCTGACTGATCGACGCGTGAATACACGTAGCTTTGTTTTAGACCGCGAACTCAAAACAAGCGCATGAACATTCGTGGTCAATGTTTTTTTTAGACGGCAGCAGCATCAGGAGGATGAGACAACTGATTTTTCAACGTCGTTGATAATTGGCATTGCAAAAATAACCGTCATTGCCTACTGCTTGGCCTCCCCACGAGCTCAATAACCCAACCACACACCCACGCTCAGTCACTCATATCGTCAGTACAGGATAGTTTGGCAATGGCAAAGAAATGACAAACCCAAGTCTAACACTTTATGTTTATGATGAGATTCTACTCCATATATACAGCAGGCATATTCAGGGTCGGTATCGAACCCACGAACTCCTGCATACTAGGCGAGGGAGATAACATCTCCTAGCCACCACAGCGCCCACGTGCCTGCATTCAATTCTCTTGTCAGGTTTATTTTCTTACAAATCACAAAATAAAGTATCATAATTTGTTTGAACAATAAACGCGGTCCTCAAATTGTATTTCTTTGTGACTGGAGTCTGGAGTCACAGCTTTGTGTAAAGCCGAAATCACAACTTAATTTACCTGTCCATATAGACGTCTGTGATTGGAGATATGTCCACGTGTAAGCAATTCCGATCAATGCAATCCAATTTGCAATGCATAGCTCAGATGTGAATGCACCTTTAGATGTATATGAAGTATGCTTCGAGTGTGTATTACAAAACAGCATTGGAATTGCTACCTATGTGTGTATGTTGAACTTTTTCCCACCGTATTTAGCCAACCGTGCTAATTGGAGGTTAATAGAGCAATGAACGTGATTTTTTTTTTACCTGAGATTTGGCGCGTAGGAAGGTGACGATTTCCTTTCGGAGCTCATCGTTCGTCTCGTTTGAGTCGAGGCTGACGAATGGGTCCGCCGGGTTCTCGCAGGGCACCTTGGCCAGAACGTCGTGCCGCTGCTTGTTGCTCGCGAAACTCGCGTTGGTCAGCGTGAGAAAGCGCTGAAGGTTTACGGAATCGACTTGACGACATACGTAGGCATCGCCGTGAAAGAACGCTATTGTTAGCCAAACTAATGGTGCCAGGGAATACGTTGCATTTCTCATTAGTATTACGATGGGGAAAATACTAATCCAACGAGTGTTATATGGAAGATAGTGGTAAAGCAAATCCGTTGATCTACAAATCGAACGTACCTGTATCACGAAAGCCAAAAAAATCAAAACGAAAAATGGTCCAAGTAAAAATGTCGTGGCATACGTTTCATTCTCTGGCCAGGTGCAAGGACATCTAAAGACAGAGAAAGTGAAGGTGTTCCCTGCTAGAGCAGACAGGATTGGCATGATCACGCCCGTGATGATGGTGGCAATGCCAGGGAGGTAGTCTCTGAGTCGGAAAAGACGAGAAAGCCATCCTTCCTCGTGCTCCATTTTGAATCTACACAGATTCAGACTCTACGCAAAATTAGCAGCAGAAACAGAAGCAGCAGCAGCAGGCTCGTTGTGTCTGAGGTGTTACGGAAGCCAGAAGCCACTATTTATACGATGAATAACCGAAGGAAGTGAAACCTGTTGGAATGTTTCACACGGATAAACACGTCATTGGATCTGGCTCAAGCTTGATAAACAACGGGGTTTGTAACGTACACCGTCATATCAGGTGGCATATTGAGGACGGTCGAGTGGAACTGTTCTCAAAACACGCAAGGGCAAGAAAACGAAACGCATATGGGGGGAGGGGGGAGTCTTAAGGATTCTCTGGGGCAGGCACACGTCTTGCGGTGTGTGAGTGTAAAAACGTAAATCGCTATTTCGCTCGCTCGCTTTCGTCACGCCAATGTCCTTTTCTCAACGATGTCAGCGATCATTGCCTCCCATTTTGCTCATTTATTTTGCACGTAGGAGGCGACACAGTATTACCTTATCACGGTAGCCGTAACAACGCCCATTACGTCTTCTTTTTACGTTGCAACTAATTACAAGTAAACACCCTCTCCCTCTCTCTCTCGCTATATCCCGCGAGGGTTACGTTCTTGACAATGCATCGCGAATGCAGAATCTGCACATGGTGAGGGTTTACTGTACCATCACCTCGGCGACTAAATGCCCAAAAAAGGGCCTGTTTAGGGCCAGAAATCGATCGTACGAGGTCTCTTGAGTGTATCAAATAAACCTTGAAGGACTCTTAAAGGCCTGAATGTGACTTCTAGGTCAGAAACCCCAAGGGAAACATAACATGGATGCTCCGTCGCTTCGCAGAAGACACGCAAATGGAAAGTTATGGAATTAATGGACATTTTTTATGCCCCTATCTACCAGCGTCGTCAGGCAAGGCCTAACGGATTATGCTGCTTTGAAGTCCACCCACCGTAAGCGATAAAGCACATTGACAATAGTCATCAAAGTCGGTCATCTTATGTCGATGATCATAAATGTACACAAGCTGCCAACAAAGGTAACATCCATCACCACCTCTGCCCGAAACCCCCTCACCCGGATAGAGATGTGGGGTGATTTCAAAAGCCACCATACACACACACACATACAATGAGGGCTACTAAAACATTTACAAAGCTGGAGAGAAACTCGAGAAACGGTCGTCGGTGAAAGAAATGTTCCTTTTGGATGGCCCCAAACAACCTGGCGCGATTGACTCAGTCCCATGGGAAAAAAAATGAAAAAAAAAACCCAGAATGATGCTTCGTCCCACAAAAATACAAGCTGCAACTAATTGCTTCAACAATTGTACACCGATTTTCCGAACTAACACAACAACAACAACAACCGCCATTCGCCACTAAGTGGCGGTGACGTCACCACCACGCTTGTGCCAGGCCATGTGCACCTTGAGGCCACGTGAAGTGTCGAACGCCCGCTGGCAGGAGGTCACAGGGCAGACCCAGCAGGTGCCACGGGTCGACTGACTGAGATTACTGGCTGATGCACCACCTGTGCCCCCTACTGTGCCAACCTGCTGTGCTTTAGCCACCCGGCGCTCCACTCGTTGTTGTGAGCGTCGCTCCTCCGCCCTCCGTTGTTGTTGGAGGGCGACTGCCTCCAACTGCCCAGTAGCGTCCTTCACGAGCCTCCTCCACAGAGGCCAATCTTGACACCGCTGGTACCAGTCATCGCCAAGTCCACTCAGCTCCACGTCCTCCTGTACCACATCACTCCATCTCTTCTCTAGCCCCGTGCCACGCCTGTTTAGCCCCCTCGATCCGGCCGAACAAAAGCTGTTTCGGCATGCGGTGGCTGGGCATGCGGGCTACATGACCCAGCCAACGCAACCTTGCCTGCCGGAGGAGCTCACCGATGGAACCTTGCCCAGATCTTTCAAGGATTTGTGAGCTCCTCACACAATCCAGCCTGGTTAAACCCAGGATGGATTGTAGGCAGGCCAGCCTAAATGTTTCTAACCGGCGAAGATGTTCCATTAAGGGGGTCCACGTTTCACAAGCGTAGAGAAGGGAGGGAATGACCATGGCCGAGAAGACCTGAAGTTTAGTGCAGAGCGACAGACCAGGTAGCTTCCACACAGCGTTACGCAACCGATGAAAAGATATTGCCGCTCGACTGATTCGAAGTGAGACCTCTGCTGTTAAACTGGAGCCTTAAACTAGTCCTGAAAACCTCCAAAACCAAGGCGCTATGCTTCTCACCAGGACTACAGCAGGAAGTTATTTTTCCCCAATTACATTCCTTAAATAATTATCAAATAGAGCAAATCAAGATCTATAAGTATCTTGGGGTCATCCTGGATTCAAAACTGAATTTTGAAGATCACATTGATTATCTTGGTAAAAAGACAAAATAAAAAATTGGTTTTCTGTATTGACACAAGCACTGCTTCCCCCCTATCTTCCGTTTGGAATTGATAAAAGCTATCATACTGCCTCTACTTGATTACTGTGACATCGTGTATAAATCAGCCCCAAGTACTGTATTGAAGAAGCTTGATTCCATCTATCACTCGGCCTTAAGATTTGCATTGAACTGTCCATATAGGACTCACCACTGTGATCTCTACATTGGGTCAAACTTAACATCTCTTAATGTTCGACGGCTTGTGCACCAGATCTTATTTATTCACGATGTACTTACAAAAAAATCCGCAGACTACCTGCTGGATCTCCTCTCTGTTTCAAAGAACAAATTTGACCTCAGGTCTTCGCTCATTTTCCAGCTTCACATTCCCTATTGCCGTACAAAACTGGAGGAAGGGCCTTTGCTATTGATGCCCCCAGGGTCTGGAATGCTATTGCCAATAAACTGCAACTTGAATCGCTACCAATGAGATCTTCTCTCAAAACTGCTCTAGAGGAGTTGTACACCCCTAGCTGCCACTGCTATTCATTGGCGTAAAATAAAATAAAATGTTTTCTCTCCGGATGACGCTGCAAAGTATTATCTGTATTTTGATTTAGCGTGCTGATCTTAAAAGTGCAGTGAAAAATTTGATACTCCGACTGATGCTTTTGTTGTTGTGGAGTAACTCATGCAGCCAGCTATGGCTCTAGGATTTGGTGTTACATGTTATTTACGTAGTTTATTGTAAAAATTCGGTCACAGTCCCCATGATCACTGTTACGTTGCAATTATGGCTTTATTTTTTGGTGATTTCGAAAGCTTTTTTTAGTTTGGACATTCTGTTTTGTTGTAGTACGGAGTAAGACTGATGGCCTTAATCTAAGTTTTCTTGTGGTTGTTGTTGTTGTTGTTTGACTTGCATCCCACAGGGATTTTTTGCACCCAGCGTTGGTGTAACAGTGCTTTTGTTTAAGGAATATTTTTGCTGGTTTTTTTCATGGATTTTCTGTTTGCACAAAGTCGCATAGTCACTATAAGATGTGTTTCTTGTTCGTGTTTTTGTTTTTTTTGTTTGTTGTGGTTGCACCCGATTCAAGAGCGGAATGGCTCACAGGGCTATACCAAAATAAAGAAACTGAACCTGAAAGATAGTCAGATTGTGCATTGTGCGCCGTATCACGGTCTCGGCTTCACAATTGGGGCTGACGGTGCCTTGCAATTGCGGCACCTTGAACTCTGGAACTCCTTGCCCTCTTCGAGGTCAAGGGGACTTCCAAGACACTTACGGATCTTTAAATTTCGACTAAAACCGTATCTTTCTTTCCCACTTTTTTACTCGGTTGATGTTAACTATTTTCGCCTTTTCACACATAGCACGCCGTGAGAACGAGTGTTTAAAGGTGCTTCATGAATTTAAATTATTATGAAGACTGAAAACTTTGAATAATTAATTAATTTATGTCTGTAAAGGCGACTGAGGTGGGGCCTTTTAAGAGTGATTAAAACTAAAACTAGTATTTTTTTTTTACCACTGAACAGTCTATATTTTTTTCAGTAGCGACTAGGCTATCACAAACGAAGTGGCTAATATCATCATAATCTTTTTCGATTTAAAGCTTTCGTGACTGCAATGATTCATCTTCTTTGGTTCTTTCGGTAAAGTCACCACGTAGAATGAGAATAAAATAATAAATTGATAAAATAAAATAACACAATAATATTCTCACGACGTTTCGGCCACAACACAAGCGGCCTTCATCAGGTGAAGGGACGAGACTGTCTGGTAGGACAGCGCTGTCCTACCAGACTTTACCGAAAGAACCAAAGAAGATGAATCATCATAATCATTACGTGGAAATCTATAGCAGCAACCAAATACTCAAAACACATACATTTCTCTATATTTGGAGTTAAAACAACAGAGGATCTAGAGAAAAATCCACACGCACCCCCCACATGAACAGACAGGTGTAAACTCCAAATATACAACCGCAGCCATTTTTAGGTTCGGGATCGAACCCACGACCTCCTATACACTAGGCAAGGTAGTTAACATCCCTTATTCACCTTGGTGCGCCGCTCTTCACAGTGCGCAAAATTGCCGTGCAATTGTCATTGGGCCCGTTTGGGGGCTGTTGGGTCAAAAAAAAATATATATATAAATGGGTCGAACGGTGAGGAAGATAATCTTTGGGTGCTGTCGAATATATCTAGGAGGCGTAATGTCAACCGAGCACTTAAAATTAGCAATGAATCATATACATGAGTGCAGTGGTGCTTAACCTTCACTGCAGGCTGCACCCCTTTGAGTCTCAATCGCTAAAAGTATACAATGTTAATAAATACATCGGGTTTGATGAAACAAAGTAGTAGTGACTTACGTGTCCTGCCTTTAATTAGCGTTTTGATCTGGAACTGGATTGCATGTATCTGAAAATCCGGCCGTGTCTCGCACCCCCAGAAAGGGCATCTCGTACAGCCAGGTTAAGAACCACTGCAATAGAGGTATGGAAAACAAGAAAGGGTGATTGTCACCGTGTGGTGCCGGGCTTATGAAGCTATGGCGGATAATGTTTTGGAATGATGTGTAGCCCGCTTACTGGGCATAGTACCAGCCCTAACGGGGCTTGGGTGAGCGCCG